GCAAAAAAACCCCCCCCCCCCCCCCCCAAAAAAAAAAAAAAAAAAAAAAAAACCACACACACACACACACACAATAACGAGTTTTCATTACTTTCTACAGGTATTTGGATGCCGATACACTTACGCTTACTATAATTGTAGTACAATGTACAAGGTCTACTGTCTGTTACACAGACCGTCATTTTCTGAACAATGGTGAACGTGATGTGAATAACCCTCTGCAAACTGTAAAGAAAAAATATCCAAGTGACATTTGACACTTTCGAAAAAAAATTAAAATGGTATTATCTTTGCTACTAATTTACCAACCAATACGAATCATTTATATAGTGGGTGCTAAAGAGAATTTCGTGTCTTAATAATTGGCATGATCCACTAAATATGTTGACGTACCAAGAAATAGATGTATAATCCGTGCCTTTAGGTTATAATAAATGAGGTCAGAGTAATAAAAGTGTAGGCCCCTAAGAGCTAAACATGTTGTTATGATCGTCTAGGGTGACACAAGCAGCGACCTCACAAGGTTGGCGTCACAGTGCCGGTGTGGCTCATTTACATAATATTAAGATATTATCATAGTGAACATTCCGAAATGCAGGATGGGAATTTCTAGCAAAAAGCAATTTCGATACGCCTTAAGCCAAGAGCGTTATCTACAAGACTGTATTGCGCAGTTAAAATTTCGTAAAATTATCGTGAGAGATCAAGCCGTTAGTCTATATACATGTACCTTTTTTTCTGATAATTTTTTGTTGGTTCTTACAATCATGAAGAAGTGTTGTCGCTGTATGAATCTGAAAAAGGGCTCCATTGCAAGTGCGATAGGGTATATGGTAAGTTTGACAATCTATAAGTTTGATATGAATAATTTAAAAATTGCCAAAAATGAATTGAGAGATGAAAGATGCTAAGTAATATTCAGTGCGGTAGCTTTTTCCCAACGTTTTACATGTTTTAAATGCATCACCAGGCAGGCGTGTAGGAAGTGAATTTTTCAGTAAAGGGATAACACAATTAAGAAAAAAGTTTGAAAGGTTAGAGGAGGATGGGGGAAATGCGAAAATGCAAGTACCGAGCATCAGAAGTTGCATCAGTTTATTGTGGTGTTGGCCGTAGTGTTGGAATGTTTAAATATACATTTGGCTTAAAGAAGTGAGCAGTGCCCCTTGTCCCCTCTCCCTGCTTTTTGCACTTTATTTAGGGCAAGGACGTATATTAAATATACGTATATTAAATATACGTCCTTGTTTGAGGTTGGCTTGGTTTTAAAGTGGTGGTGGTGGTGGGGAGGGGGGGGGGTTAAGCCCCATCCGTCCCCTGGCGACTACTTATTCATGAATGTACTGGTATGAAAATCCAATACATGTACCGCAATTACAGTACTACAAGCCAGCTACATATAGATGCCGTCTCTTTAAGTTTCCATTCTCAAAACGTCGACTTGTATGAACTATCAGGACTAGTGACTGACTAGTACAACATGAAGATTTTATGTCTGGTTTCAGATCATTGGGATCTTAGTGCTGGGCCTGTATGGCTGCCTGCTTAGTTTGATATATCAATACGGTAAGGGGACTTTCTTAAAAGATTCTCAACATTTTTAACCAGTTGATATTAGACTTTAATAACTCATGTATTTTTATTCGATAAATGACGAACACAGTTATTTCTGATGCATCACGTACTAGATAATTATGATCTACCTCTATTTAATAATCACGTTTGACACTTTTTTTTCAGATGGCACCTTTGATTACGGATTTCGGTTCTACTTGATCTTGGCGGAATTCGCTGTGATGTCACTGTGGGTCCTGTTCTCCATTCTTCTCATCATAGGCGTGGTTAAGTTCCGAATCGCTAATAAACTAAAACCAAAAAAGAACCTGCTTTAATTCAATATTGTTTATAGCTATAAACGTAATTGTCAGTTTAGATAATACGACACCGTTTCATGAGGTTTTATTGTGTTATGAATGTCGATCTGGGGACTTGATAATAAGACATCGTATTAAGGTTAGCATTCTGAGATAAGCCTGGAGAAGAATGTTATTTTAATTGAAATTCCGTCAGGTTTTAAAAAACTGATTTGTGAAAATTAGAAAATCCTTGAGCAGGCAGCAATTACAGTAAAATACGCTGTTATCAATATCTAAAAGAGAAGACTGAGATTGCAAAAAAAAAATATATATATAAATTTTAATGGAAATAAGATGTGTGAGTGTGTTGGGTATGGGAGAGTTTCAGTACACCAATAATTTTTTTTTTTTTTTTTTTTTTTTGGTGGATTATTTCAGCCCCACTGATATCTATCAAGGGGGGGGGGAGCTGTTCATAATGCTATATATGTTTACCTTCATTTACCGTATTTCAGGGCATCCGTGGGATGTTTTTACCTTGGATTATTTGGGCCGCGGCTCTCGTTGTGTTGGAAGAGATTCAGTTTATCCAGTATTTCCTTATAATTGGTAAGTAAACTGGAATTACCTTTAACTGAAGAGAACCCTTTTATACCAACCACGACTGTTGATAGTGTGACCGAGTGTTTTGTTTGTCTCATTTGAAATAATATGACATAAATTTTTCAAGTTTCTGACAGTTTATCAATAAGTCAACGAATATCTCAATATGTTAAGGTCCACTGAATACATGTGATAAACTCACTCATTTACACGTACATATAATATGAGAATCAGTCAGCATAATATCATTCCCCTTGCTTCAGTCTTGAATGAATATTTATCATCCTCTGTATAGGTATACCTGCTAAGTAGAACTGATATAACTGAAAAGTAGAAGCTCTCACTTGTTATCTATTGCATTGCAATTACAGTCGGTAGTATTTAAATCAGTTGCTGCCTCTGTGACATGCAGATAAATTTCCTGTAGATAATGTGTATAAATGCTGAATGCTTGGACTCAGTAAACACTTTTTAGAGTTGGGACTGAACGTGTGAGTTTGTGGTTATACATTACCTCTCCCATGCATCAGTGACAAGCGAAATATTAGAAGAACCTGGGTAGGGAGGACCATGGACCCCTACACAATGTCACAATGTCAGAGAAAACATCCACAGTATTGAAATCATATGTAGTGGTAAATATAAGCAGGGGCGGATTTAGGCCGTCTTCTGGGTCTTCCGGAAGACGGTCAGATTTTCAAGTTTACATTGACGGGTATTTAATTTTTTCTGTTGGAAGACGGTCAAAATTGGAGAATAAATCAACAAAAACAATTTGGAAGACTGTCAGTAAATAGCTCTGCATCCGCCCCTGATAAGTGACAATAAAGGTAAATTAAGGTAGATGAAAGGCATATACAAGGCCCCTGAAATAAACAAGAAAAAAACACATTATAATGTTGTTTTCATAACTACAGGGGGGTATTACGGGTTGAACTTCCGGAAATTACAGGAAGTTGCGCATCCTTATGCACAAAGGTCAAGGTTAATTTCCAAAGTAAACAAAATAATATTCACACTTGTCACAATAGCACAGAATCCCCTCGACCATTTTTCCTTTCAGTTCAGTAATTTTATACCCAGTGTTGACTACTACATAGTACTCCATGCCAAAGTGTTACATTTATCCTTTTTAACATTTTATGTAGAGGCTATGTAGAGGCGATATAAAATCGATTCAAAAGTGCTCCATATGATAAAAACTGGAATGATCTGGAACAGTATCTGGAATTATCATTACCTTTCGGGTCCTCTTGCCCCTTGAAGATTTTGTTTTGTACATGTAACATTTTGTGAAAAGGCATAACGTGTACGAGACGGTCAGAGTTGAACACAAATGCTGTTGATGAACTGTGTTCGTTTGGTAAAATTTAATGCCTGGAATATAAATAATATTTATTCCTTCTTTTTCTTGTAGATCGCTTGTTTACCGACCCAATCTCGGCAGTGGCATTCATTTTAACAGTAGTGATAGTTCTTGTTAATGTAAGTGCTACCTGTAGTTCTCTCTCATTTTCTCTCTCTCTTTCTCTCTCTTTCTATATACATTTTAATGTTGAATGGTTTTTCATGATTATGTATCATATCCTCGTTTTTCAAAATGCTGAATCTATAATAAAACTGTTTTAGTAATTGCGTTCTTATTTTTGTGTTTCAGATTTTCGCCATAGCGTGTGTCTCGGCACATTACAGACAACTCTCCACCGTGACAGGAAGCATTGAAATGCAGCCTCACTACCCTGAAAAACACGCCATCTGAAAGGAAAATGCCACCACTGAAGTTCAGTACGACCAAAATTAGTGTGCGCCCAACTTTGCTAACTATCGGACACTTTCACCTCACGAGGTCACAGATTTGGTGAATCTCTTTTTATATATATTTTGCACAGCAATAACGTCATAGCTCAGCCGAGTTTTGGCAGAGAGTATATTTTTGTAATTTTTTTACCTGAATTATTACCATTTAGATGATTTCATTTTTGTTTAATTATTCAAGATCTAGACACATGGATTGAATAAGTTACGATATGTATCCTAGCTCATTATTGTGATATATTCATGGGAAGGATGACATGCTTTACGGTAAAGAATCCATTCCTTATAATGTGTATGCGCTGAATATCCCTGATAATTCTAGAATAGTATACGCCTTTGAACTTATTGTGATAAGTACAGGTAATTCACTTAAAAAATTGATATTTTTGTCTGTACCTCTTTACTGAGGCAGCTTACATGAGGAAATTTCCGTTGGCCTTTTGTACATATTGAGATGATCACATCTAATAAATATTAATGAACTGTACCGCGGCCGGAGGTCCTTTTTTTCATAGGCTGGTTGAATAGAGACAAAATGATGAAAAATTACGTGTGACGATTAGTTTGTGTTAGTCTCGTTTCGTTTGTTTTAATTTGTGGTGTGTTTGGGAGGGTGGGGTGGGGGCGTTAGAAAATGTAGGCCATATTTTTATACCTCCAAAGCAATAGGGGCAAGTAGCACGTAACCTACCCCCCCCCCCCAAGCCCCCTTCCCCAGGATCGGACTGAAGTGTATGGCACTGTGTGTACATGTACTGTACATGCAGAATTGACAAGCTGTATCCTACAATGCAGTTTATTTTGCATTAATAAAGAAATGGGGCTTATTTTGCACGTATTGTGCAATGACCATTGTGATTTTAAAAAACATTTTTAGATAATTTTGAAAGTTTGTGAAGTTTGTAAATTACGTAGATAAATGTGAATTTAACATGTTTTTTTATTTATTTAACATGTATCAGAAATTTGAGGTTATTTTCTCATGAACACATAATCATTTGGTGAAGTATCAAGTATGGTGATATACAGCTGACCACGTTGTCAGCTGAACATGCCCGTATAATCTACCAGCAACTCAGCTGGCATCTAGATGTGGAAAAAAATTAAATTCATCACTGTAGGACGCAGTTATAAATTGCATATACTCTTTAATGCAAAATGTGACTCATAAGCTTTTAGTGGTGTTGGTTTACTGACTGTTTAATAAATGTTTTTTCTTTATATACAGAAAGACTTGTTCTTTTATTTGTGTGGTGATATGTTTTAATGTATTCATCGACTTACTGTGATCCATAAAAATTAATGTTCAATTGTTTTGTCAGAATCCGAAATTCCATTCGTGTCTTTGATTATTTTATCAAGTTGGCTTTGTTTTTGTGATAAGAAATGTCAATTTAAATCTAAATTTTACAATGATGATTTTTACATAATTACACGAAAATGTATTAATTAAAAAAATTAATTACGCTGTTGCCTCTGACATTTTTATTGATCCTTTCTTATTTTATTGTCTTTTATTTCGTCAGCTTTCCTTAATAACCTAATTTTCTCTCCCTTTACTTCTCGAATCTGCGACAGGAGAAACATAAAGATTGTGTTACCTGTTATTTTTACATTTTTGTCTGCCAGATATATGTGATAAAGGATTAGGTATACGCCTTGCAAGAAAAAATCACTTTTAAAAAGTCAATTAGTATATGGATATTTCATGCGGTACCTATTATACCTGTACCAAAGCAACATTAACACTGACTTGAATGCATCTCATAGCGGAATGACTACTTGTTACACGGTCTCTTGGTTTCCTAACACCGGTGAACGCGAGATTACACCTGTTTGAATAATATTTGCAATTTATTAATACTAACAAAATACTAGGCTGCCCTGGGAATGCAGTTTTGTCGTGTTTCCTGTAAACCATCTAACAGTACCCTGTCCACATATCATCTAGCTAATTATAGATGTAACTGAATCAAAGATTTCAATTTATGGCTAAAATATTACAAAAACATCAAACATCTAAAAACGATTACCTGCGACGAAACACGTAACGGAGGTTTTTTTTTAACCCTGGTATACCGCGGAAATAGACGCAAGGTATTTCAAAATGAGTTACTCATTCTAGACATTTGCCGGGATGTTAGACGCCTGACCAAGGAATCCCTGTCTTCATTTCTAAATACTAAGTAGGTTAGTCATTTGCGGTCGTATGGCCTACATAGTACAAAATGAACTGAAAGCGCGAAAAAAAAGTATAAAATATGACACGGTGTAGAGTAGTTGTAATGTTAAAACGTGTTAAACAACAGAAAGCAGTACCCAAGTACAGCTGATCAACGCACTTTTAATTTTTTTGTGAAATATTAGTTGGTGCTGTGTGCTAGGTGTGACAGTGCCTTCATCCAATTAGCATCAATGCTGGCGCCTCCTGACACAATATACAAACATAACCTGGCTAAAAACATCATTGTATAATACTGGTTGTTATATTATTTTATAATGTTACAAACATAACCTAGCTAAAAACGTCTTTGTATAATACTGGTTGTTATATTATTTTATAATGTTCATGGACTTCATTCGTCTTCAGATAAAATGTGGCCAATAAACAGATGACGTCATACGATAACAACGGTTTAGGAGCGTATGTTGGGTTTTTTGATTTTCTTTTTTTTTTCCTGGGCTCTTATCTTTAAGTGAAAAGTTTAGCAAAATGGCAAGGCATAAATCTGTTGTACGCGTATAAAAATAATCGTGCTTTAACAGTTTTCCAGGAGGAACACTGGTGATTTGTTTAACAAATTCAAATTCAAATCGATTCTTGTCTAATTTGTAGTGTATAGAATGTNTTTCCAAAGTAAACAAAATAATATTCACACTTGTCACAATAGCACAGAATCCCCTCGACCATTTTTCCTTTCAGTTCAGTAATTTTATACCCAGTGTTGACTACAACATAGTAGGCCCTACTCCATGCCAAAGTGTTACATTTATCCACTTTAACATTTTATGTAGAGGCTATGTAGAGGCGATATAAAATCGATTCAAAAGTGCTCCATATGATAAAAACTGGAATGATCTGGAACAGTATCTGGAATTATCATTACCTTTCGGGTCCCCTTGCCCCTTGAAGATTTTGTTTTGTACATGTAACATTTTGAGAAAAGGCATAACGTGTACGAGACGGTCAGAGTTGAACACAAATGCTGTTGATGAACTGTGTTCGTTTGGTAAAATTTAATGCCTGGAATATAAATAATATTTATTCCTTCTTTTTCTTGTAGATCGCTTGTTTACCGACCCAATCTCGGCAGTGGCATTCATTTTAACAGTAGTGATAGTTCTTGTTAATGTAAGTGCTACCTGTAGTTCTCTCTCATTTTCTCTCTCTCTTTCTCTCTCTTTCTATATACATTTTAATGTTGAATGGTTTTTCATGATTATGTATCATATCTTCGTTTTTCAAAATGCTGAATCTATAATAAAACTGTTTTAGTAATTGCGTTCTTATTTTTGTGTTTCAGATTTTCGCCATAGCGTGTGTCTCGGCACATTACAGACAACTCTCCACCGTGACAGGAAGCATTGAAAGGCAGCCTCACTACCCTGAAAAACACGCCATCTGAAAGGAAAATGCCACCACTGAAGTTCATTACGACCAAAATTAGTGTGCGCCCAACTTTGTTAACTATCGGACACTTTCACCTCACGAGGTCACAGATTTGGTGAATCTCTTTTTATATATATTTTGCACAGCAATAACGTCATAGCTCAGCCGAGCTTTGGCAGAGAGTATATTTTTGTAATTTTTTTACCTGAATTATTACCATTTAGATAATTTCATTTTTGTTTAATTATTCAAGATCTAGACACATGGATTGAATAAGTTATGATACATGTATGTATCCTAGCTCATTATTGTGATATATTCATGGGAGGGATGACATGCTTTACGGTAGAGAATCCATTCCTTATAAAGTGTATGCGCTGAATATCCCTGATAATTCTAGAATAGTATACGCCTTTGAACTTATTGTGATAAGTAATTCACTTAAAAAAATTGATATTTTTGTCTGTACCTCTTTACTGAGGAAGCTTACATGAGGTAATTTCCGTTGGCCTTTTGTACATATTGAGATGATCACATCTAATAAATATTAATGAACTGTACCGCGGCCGGAGGTTCTTTTTTTCATAGGCTGGTTGAATAGAGACAAAATGATGAAAAATTACGTGTGACGATTAGTTTGTGTTAGTCTCGTTTCGTTTGTTTTAATTTGTGGTGTGTTTGGGAGGGTGGGGTGGGGGCGTTAGAAAATGTAGGCCATATTTTCATACCTCCAAAGCAATAGGGGCAAGTAGCACGTAACCTACCCCCCCCCCCAAGCCCCCTTCCCCTGGATCGGACTGAAGTGTATGGCACTGTGTGTACATGTACTGTACATGCAGAATTGACAAGCTGTATCCTACAATGCAGTTTATTTTGCATTAATAAAGAAATGGGGCTTATTTTGCACGTATTGTGCAATGACCATTGTGATTTTAAAAAACATTTTTAGATAATTTTGAAAGTTTGTGAAGTTTGTAAATTACGTAGATAAATGTGAATTTAACGTTTTTTTTTTATTAATTTAACATGTATCAGAAATTTGAGGTTATTTTCTCATGAACACATAATCATTTGGTTAAGTATCAAGTATGGTATGGTGAGATACAGCTGACCACGTTGTCAGCTGAACATGCCCGTATAATCTACCAGCAACTCAGCTGGCATCTAGATTGGAAAAAAATTAAATACATCACTGTAGGACGCAGTTATAAATTGCATATACTCTTTAATGCAAAATGTGACTCAGCTTTTAGTGGTGTTGGCTTACTGTCTGTTTAATAAATGTTATTCTTTATATACAGAAAGACTTGTTGCTTTTATTTGTGTGGTGATATGTTTTAATGTATTCATCGACTTACTGTGGTCCATAAAAATTAATGTTCAATTGTTTTGTCAGAATCCAAAATTTCATTCTTGTCTTTGATTATTTTATGAATTTGGCTTTATTTTTGTGATAAGAATTGCTAATTTAAATCTTAAAATGATGCTTTTTACA